CAGTTCTTCTCCAGTTTCGTACACGGCGTGTAGCGGGCGATGCCTCCTCTCGGTCAGTCCGATGACGTCGTACTTGATCTTCCTGGCTTGCAACATCAGATCTTCGATGTGAGCTTCCGATGCAAGCGTCCGTGCGTTGAAAGTACAGATCGTCATCCTAGTCCTGGGCGACTTAAATCTCCGTTGGCCCTGTGATTCTTGCAGCCTCGCCCGAGCGGTCCCAGCCGACGTCGCCCTGTCGGTGGTTCCCTCAGGTTCAGGGGAATCTTAGTTTTCGGGGTGAAAAATTTGTCCACGCGTGGCTCGTCAGGCTCTAATGTGGCACCCTCCGCATTAGTACGGTGTAAACAGTGCAAACGCTACGCCACGTTGCGGCTGTGGATAGGACTTGTGGGGGAGCAGCGCTGATACAAAGTCGTTTCTTTGACTGGAAAGTACCTTTTTCCAACTTTGGAAACGTATATGTTCACTTATGGAGCATAATGGGTTGCCTAATAAATCAATAAAAAGGCTCGTCTGTTGGTTGTGGTGTGCTCACCTGGTGCATCGTTTATTGGTGAATATGATTCGACAGTGATCCTCGATACTAGTTACGAGAAAGCGAAATTTACCGACTGTAGAATTTTCTCAGTAACGGCTGTAGATTTTTCTCAGATAGGGACGTGAAATAAACATTATCATGCAGGCTGCCTGACTGCTGACCTGATTGATTTGACGCCAAGGTGACTTGTTCACTCAACACTCACTTGTACTCTCTGCGGGCCTTGAAATAACAATGGAATAGAACAGATCATCATCTCCAACGTGATGCAGCCTGAGGCATCGTAACCCAACTCCACCAGCGACAGACGAGTACTGCCGTTACTAAGTTGTCGGGTACTGCACTTCTTTTCAGATTGTTGGACTTTGTGAGGACAACTTTGAATTCGGCCCATTGTTCCGTGTTCCAATCACCGTCATCAGCCCTGAAGAAGTTTCGAGTAAAGACGATTATACCTACGAGCGTGCATTCGAAGCTTTTTCTGGAGAAGCTAATCGTCATTTCATAACAGTACCTGCAGGCGCCAATGTTTGTGGTACGTAATGTTTTCTCCTTGCGAACTCATTTAAGTCAAGCTGACATTCAAGATCGAAGTTCAGAGGTCATAGTCGAAAACGCATCGCGAGCTTCACCGAAAGAGCGTTTCACGTTGCACTGTGTACAGATTTCTGATGATAAATGCTTCCGCAATTCTGAGACGTATAAGGTAGCCTTGAGCCACACTGACTTTCTGTTGTTATGCTCTTACGTCTTGTAGTTTCTTTTTCAGAATCTTGGCCCGGATAGCTTTGAATGGAAGCACTTTGTTCCGGTAGCTGAGAATCGTACGTTAGAAATATGCCTCGTACGTAGCTGGACACGTGGTCCCGATGGAATTAATGTCAGACTCTCTGCACGGTTTCATGGAGTCAAAAGAGATCCAAACATCAATCTGGTATGGCAGTAATATTTCCTTTATACTTTAGGTTGAGCTTTGTAGAGCTTGAGTGACAAGAACCTTTCCAAGACGTGGTCCGGCCCCTACACAGATTCATGCTCCACCCGTATGCTCACCACTCAGCAATTCAAGGCAGCGCCGTTCCGCCCGGGGACGCTCGAAATAAGACCGGGCTATACGCGATTAACGCACGTTTGAAATCTTATATTCTATTGCACTATTATGTATACAGTTCTAATAATCTTCTTCACGCGCTAAATATGGCGGACACTGTGTTGGTCTTTCCAATTGGTTCCTGTGCTAAATGTTTCATCAAAAGAGGAGACCAGAAGATCCAGCCTGTACACCATCACCACTCTTTGATCCACTAGATAAGCGTCATCATCGACGCCACATAGTATGTTATCTTCAAGGTGCAGCACTGTAACGAACCAAAATCACGCAGCCAAAGACAACCATAGTGAGAGGGCCCGTACAAAGTTGCACGCTAATGTAGGTGCGGACCATTCATCTTACACATGGGAAGCACCAGAATACACGAGGGCGAGCGTCCACTATATCTTTAGTGTTGCTTGACACATTAGTTGGTTCAATGACATGTTAATTATCACGTCCTAAGTTGATAACAGGCCCTATTACTGTCTAAAGTGGGCACCCTAATATGTTGGGTCGGGAAGTGGGTTCTGCAAGTTCGATGAACGACTGCAAATCGCAGAATGGTTGCTATTTTGGAAAAATCCGACCAATTGACATACGGTACGTCAAAATCGCCGGTGAACATGCACTGCTTTGAACAACTGGATGGTAACCGCGGCTGCTGCGGAGGGTACTTTATATACGGTCATGAAACGGGCATGAGAAAGTGACACCAAAAAATCAATTTAGAAAATTCTACATGGTTTAGGGTTACACTCACGGGCAACAGTGATCGGAGATGGAGTTTTCTTGGCGAAGATAGCAACACCCTGCCTTTTTGAGGGACGTTCAGTGTTCAGTTTTCGAGACGACCAGTCCATCTGACCACTTCATACTGCTGCCTACGGTTTCCATAGTAGATGCCCACTGAGCCAAGTCTCGGATCGGACAACAATGCCAAAAACAAATTGTTCAGTTCGATAAGAAAGCGCGGCCATTTTTATGAGGTACTTGAATGTGAGCGTGAGCTGTGCAAGAGGGACACAGTTTGGCCTGCTGGACGCAATAACACCACTTGCGTCCTCTCTGACTACCGTATACCTTAAGTGCCGTACGCCTATTTTTAATCATTTGTGAGTTTTTTTTGTCGACTGCGCCACTATTTTAACCTCGTTGTTTGGCAGTATTCAGCTATGACTACCCCAATCGTCCGAAGACAAGCAAGTTTATTTTGCCAACTTTGTCCAAGAAAGCAGATCCTTCTGCAAATACGATTCTAGGTTAGACCACGAATATCCCATCCACCTTATCTGAAGCTGTCTGGCACCCGTGCGGCACCGAGATACTATAGACTACAAAATCCGCTGAAAACTTGTTCGCAGGTGTAGTTCGACGTCCTGGACACGAATACCACATTAGCTCTTGCTGAAAGTGCCTGGCACCCGCGCCACGGGTGCCGGTGCCGCAATATCCTAGTACAAATCTGCTGGAAACTTACGGGGGTTATTTGACATCCAGATTACATATACAGGGGGGGGGGGGCAAAAAAAAGACATTTCGACCGAGTCACATATCAGCAAAGTTTTCGCAGCCCAGACAGAGGACGTGGATACGAGTACCAGGGCGGAAGATACCCAAGATGTTCCTCTATAAGCAGGAGCTGGCGCTCGCCCATCACCTTCATGTACACCAAAATATGAAGTCATCTCCAGCCGCAACCTGACTGGAGAAGACCTTCGGAATTCATGTCACCTCCAAACAGCTGCGAAACTTCTAGTATGGAGTCACCCATGGATAGCTACCTGGAGATGAGTGTCTCGATCTGGGAAACCTCCA